TCTGCTCCAGCTCTAGTGGTCTCTGAGCCTTTGTCTGGAAATGAAAGCCTATAATTTTTCGTTTAAAGGGAAATAACTCAAAACCGGAAGTGACTTTATGAAATTATCGACAGCATTCTGATAGAGTTTATTACCGTCTATAATGTCTTAAAATTTGAGCAAAATCCATTGAGAATTGAGTGAGATATGAGGCCTCAAAGTTGGCGTCTAGGAAGAAAACAAAAAAAAAGAATAATAAGAATAATCTTAATCTTCTGAATCAGTAGAAGGTCTTCCGTTGGAAACGGAAGACCTTAATTAGGTTGGATCGAAAGGAAGCTTATAAACACGATTCTAAATGTGAAATAACAACCGCAATATGTACCTGGCATCCTTCCATTGTCCATGAGTCGTTTTCGTTATTCCAAGTTCTACACGCTGTAGTAGTAAAAATCATGCTAAAGTTTGCCTTGACTGGCACAAAATCCGAAACGTTAACATATAAGGTCGTTTTCTCTGGTGGCCCGATAATTATAAGCGGTTCTGCAGCTCTTCTTTTTCTAGATCCTGAGAAATCACCAGAGGCAGGGGCTGAAAAAATATTTTTTTTAATTTGATTTAACAAAATTCTCAAAACTTGTTCTTCTATTATTATCGAAAGTTTTAAACAATTTGCCTCCTTCATTTTACGTCATTATATTTTACACAAAACAATTATTCTCGTGTATATCTTCTTTAGTTAAGATTATATATATAGACAAATAAGACATATAACCAGAAGAAAAAAAATTGTCTTCAAGTTATAAATATCAAATACCAATACAAATATGGTGACATTTAACGTTTTTCAAATACAATTTAGATTTAAAATTTTCTATTATGTTTATGATTTCGTTTAGGATATGTATTCATCATTAATATGTGTAGCTACAGATCTGTAGATCACTGGTCTGAAAAAAAAATTGGGATGGGCGATTAGAGAGTTACTGTGCACCTATTGAAAAAAAGTGACTATATTTTTGAAAATGTTTTCAGCACATATTCTGATATGTCTGCTCACGGCAGTGCACTGGTATTCAGTTTGACGAATCTGTTGACGATGGACGGTCATTCGGTGTCTAAGGGTGTCCCCGGTTTGGCCAATATAATGCTCGCCGCATCCTGAACATGTCATGACATATATCAAATTTGAACTTTCGCAGGTAAAAGAAGAATGAATAACGAATTTTCTTCCGTTTTTAAAAATAAATTGTTCGGTTTCCTGTAAAAAGGGACAGGTTCCACATCTTGGATGATGACATTTTTTAACACCGGCTGTTTCTTCTGTATTGTTAAATTTGGTTCGTGTTAAAATCTTCTTTAAGGATGGGCTCTGTCTTTTACTTTTGATCAATTGAAATTCACTGAGTACGTCTTTCATCCTTGGATCATTCTCTAAAATTGGCATGTTGGTTTTGATGACTTGGAAAAATTCTTGATTTTTTGGATTGTGTGTAGATACGTAGGGAATGAGATTTTCTTGTATCTGAAGTAGGCTGTTTCTGTCATGTAGTTTGGTGTTGTCTATTCCTTTTTCAATCAGTAAGGTTGGATAATGCCTTTGTTTTAATAATTCCCGTAACTCATTAAGTCTGACATTTAAAATATCCTTGTCCGATATTATGGTACAGAGTCGCCTAGCTAAATTATATGGAATGTTGTTCTTGATGTGTTATGGATGACAGGAATCGTAGAGAAGGTATTGTTTTGTGTCCGTGGCCTTGTAATATACGTCAGTTACGATTTTCCCTTCTTTTTTCATGACCATAACATCTAAAAATGGTAACTTGTTTTCGTCCCTCTCCATTGTAAATTTTAAGTTGGGGTTCATGTTGTTTAAAATATCATAGAAATATATATATATTGTACTAGAAAACATGGTATTATTTTGATGGCAGCTTAAATATACGCAATAACGATAATATATACTTTTTTCGATGGGTAGCGCTGTTGCTTTCTGGTCGTCTATCCCCTTTTTTCAGACCAGCGAGCTACAGATCTTCTGCTATAAATCGTTCTAGTTTTGGACTAAAAAGTGTGAAATAGTCCTAAAAATAACTTTCTCTTCCAGTACAATTGGACCTACGTGCAGAATTTGCATTATTTACCTGTGAGTGGTTTTATGCCACAATAACAAAGTCCTTTCCCACACATATTTTCTGGAAGGAAGACTTTAAATCCATATCCTGTCCAATCTTGGACACCAAGTACCTTTTTATAATCAAACACATTTGATGTTGGAAATGTATCTGAACTAAAATAAAACGAATATAAAGGCACCCTCTGGTGGGCTAGGAAGTCAAATCCATCAGGTTTTATGTAGATTATGACTGCATCTGTTTCACTTATAACCTCAAAAGTAAAATAAATTATCGGTTCTGGATGTTGTGGATTAATGAGAGGGGTATATCTTTTGAATTCCAAATCCCCTTTATTCCGAATATTTGTGTCCACGGATATGTTTTGGGGAATATACATCACTGGCACGGAAGAAGTTGCCTTGGTTGCATTTTCTCCAAATATATAAGGGTTTATCAAGTAGTTAGTGACCTAAATGAAAAAAAATATTAAATATTTTTTTAAAGTAATTATTCCTTTCGTTACTTTTACTTTCTTTTAAATGTATTCTCTAATTCACTAAAAATCATTATCGCTAATGTATTGTATATTATCAAAAATAATTGATATTATTTTACTCATAAACTTAAAAATATCAAAAAAAAAAATATTATATATATTAAATCGAAAGTCAGAAAATACTGATAATTCCAGGCATGATGCATGTTTGTCTGAGCCATTCACTTCGTGTACACCTTCCAGAAACTCATCTTGGACATTTTCAAGATCGTTGAGGGACACTTTTCTTATCATTGTTTCCAGTACTTTATATGCCTTGAAGTGAAGTCGCTCGCCAAAAACAATAGTTTTGTGCATGACATTTACAAAGGCTGATTGGATTCGTTTTATAATTGGGATACATTTTCTTGCCTGAAATAATTACGGAAATAAATAAAAAAAAAATCTCCCAACAATACAATGCAATGTAAATCAAAACCAAAAAAACACAGTTGTTCTTTAATTTCATATTGTAGCGGTCAAACAGGATAAACAATAGAAGTGATCATTAAATATTTACATCTGTGATATTTCTATATGAAAGAGATAAGAAAGCTTAACTTTCATTTTTCTCTACCCTTGTAAGAAAGACAACTTTGCTTTTATGTTGGACAGTTTTTTTTATTGCAATTATAATTAATTATATACCGTCTCTCTTTGCTGAAGTTGAAACTCTCGTTCATGTGCTCGTATTTGATAAATAAAACCAACTTGTCTATTAATGCTTTGATAGTCTAAAGTTACGTTCCCTTGACTTTGTTTTAACAGGCTGGTTTCTTGTAGGAAGAACTTGAGGTGTAACATGATTTCCGCTCTTATATCATCTTCGGAAAGTTCAATATCCAAGTTTTGTAGTTTCCGAGGTAGCATCTTGTTCAAGACATTGTCCAATACCCGATGATAAACTATCATATGTTAACATTTGTGGTTAATTTATATTGTAGAGAATGTTGAATATCTATTTGAAAATGCTTAGAAAAAAAATAAGAAAATATTGTATGTTATGCATAAATATTATGTAAAAAAAATTATATCATTATGTTTTGCATGCCGTTATTGGCACTTGACAGATTTAAAACTAAAAAGTAAATTGAAAATGGTCTAATCAGCTGCAGAGATGTGATATATAGATACCAAGTAGCTCCCAAAATTAGACAAGTTAAAAAATGTTATACCAGAAGAAAACTTGACTTAAACAACACTATAAATGTTAAATCATTAAGAAATACTCGTTTTTTACATTGGATTTTTCACTACTATGAACCCAGTACACAGTCTTACCATTAGCAATGTCTGTTAGTATTTCAACTGCGCTTGTAGATAAAGGAGTTCTCCTGCTGCCATCTTCCAAACAGTCAATGACAGTGTCCACGATTTCAACCGTCATGATCTGTTTGAATAAGAAATAAGCTAACATGTTCATTCATTCACAATAATTTATCAAAATGTAATCAAAATTTTAAAAAATTTCATGATAACATTGTTCATTTTCTAATTTATCCCTACTTTTTTACCGGAAAGATTTATGTCATCAATCGACCCTACCGAATTAACTGATATTTTTAAAACTTCACATATTTCCGACTTAGAAAAACACAAACCACTGCCTCCAAAGTTAAATACGGTTCAAAACGAGTTAGAGCATCCAAGGTACTGAAAATTTGCTGCATGTCTGCCAATTTGAATCTGTCGGTGAAATTCGCACAACCAGGCTTTATAATGCTTTTGGCCAATTGAAGAAGCTTCTCGGTTTTCTGTTTTGGAAGTTTAGGAAAAAAATCTTGTAAGATTTGTTATTGTTAACAACATGAAGTCCATGAATATTTTGTTATTACAGTCTACCTGTTGATAAACAAGAAACACAGGCCCTCCTCCGGATGTATCAATGTTAATGGACTCTATATCACCTTTTACTTCTTCTTCAGTTGTTGTGCTATCAACCTTTAAAAAAAATATTTTAAAATATGATAAAAGTATCCTTAAATGTGTGACTCTTTCTTTTGAAAACATTCTTTTACAAAATCTTAACCATATCGTAAATGTATAATTGGTAAGGCCATCTTTAAAAAAATGTTTAAATTTAGTTTCCCTCTCCCGACTTGGTCTGTAAATATTTGGTCGGTTGCTACATGTATGTAAGTGATTTTTTTTTCCCAAAAAAAATTTAATTTCAATGATATTTTTGAAATCTAATTGTCTAAGTATTTTCTAAAAAATAATTCCTTCTTTAAGGTAAAAAAAAGTTTTGAATCGCGCCATTTTTACCCAGCCAGTCAGGAGAGGACAACCAAACAATTTTTAAAAGGTCTAATCAAAAGGTCATGAACTTCAGTACATACAAATGGAAATTGCTTGAACCCAGCTGCAACGGCTCCTAAAAAACTCAAGGTTTGAAGGTCATTTCCTGACAGATTGTAGTTGTTGAACTTTGAATCAAAGTTATTAAACGAGGACTCAATTGTTGAAATGTCTTTTAAATCTTCAGGTTCAAAGTTAGAAGGTGGAATGACCTGCAGAAGTAAAGCATTGCACTTCATATCAATTCTTGCAAAAAATCAAGAATGACTTGGTTAGTGGTAAAATCAGTCAAAATAGAGATCTGAGTTTAAATGATGTGAACAAATATTTGGATAAAGAGGAAAAATGATGTAATCAGATCAATACTGTAATATTTGAGGAATACGTTCCATAATCCCCATAGATGTCAAAAATCCGAACTCGGACAGTAACTGTGTGATTAAAACCTGGATCCCCCGGCTGTACAGGGACATCTAAGATGCGACTCTCACCTGAAACAAAGGATCGATTTTACTAGAATGGAGCATATTCTAACTGATGTGTCTTCAATCATTTATCTTTTAAGTTGTGAACATGCAAATACTTAAATAAGAAAAATATCTCTTTTTTTAATCAAGTGATTTTTTTTGGAGGGGGTGGGGTGGGGTGTAAAGGCAGGGCACTGGTCATGGAATCTTACGAATGGGAGACCTCTATTATTCAGTAACATTTAAGTTACCTGAATGGGAGAGCCTCATCCTGCGTTTATTTGATAAAACTGCACAATTTATTATATAAGTTTTAAAAATCTTTTTAAAAGGTACTACTTTATATTAAATGTAGATTGGTTACATCATTTTGTTAGAATAATACCTTAAATATTTTGAATGAATAAAAAATTTAAATAATCCAGAAAGAAAATAACATTGACTGTGCTTTGATCAGAAAACTATAATCAATTTGTGACCATACGTCTTTCAACAAATTCCATTATATCAAAGATAATCCATACATATCGAAATAGTGCATAAATATGTACATACTTCCTTCATACAGAAAATTGACAATGATTCCTTCTCCATGTGTATAGTTTCTTTTTGTAACTGTTTCGTAGAGGTATGTGAACACATTTTCATTTTCGTCTGGATCGATCCAATGTGAGCACTGCACGCTCAGAAGAATAACCACTGAGTCTATCCCAAAAGCAAATGAAACATTGAGCATAATTTACAGGGCATATTTTTTTTCACTTTCTCTTTAAATTTTAGAAACATATCAAGTTAGCATATACGAAATATATCCTTTTGGGTCATATTTTAACTGTTTTGTAATGCGTTCTTATTTTGTTAGTTACCATAGCAACAAAAAAGATTAGGAAAATAGAACTATTTTACATTTTTATCTTCCCAAGAAATATTTTCTCAAAGATAATACCAGTTTTTCGTAACTTTTTGGGTATATTCAAAACCCTCATCAAATGATGATGTACACAAGAAACTTAAAAGAAGTATGTATTTTCTACGAATGCTGGACAACTCGCCCCCAGGTTATGACAATATTTTTTCTAATCTGAATAACATACTGCAGTATTTGCATTTATACGACTATTATGCTTATAAAGGTGCGCTTAAAGAGATGAGAATATACAATTAATATAATGTTTTACTATTGTTCTTATGTAACATTATATTTTTTCTCACGTGAGTTTCATGTCCTATGTTGTTTTCCGCGGCAGGAAATGCACCATAGGATCTCTTGGCGTTGTCGGAGATGAAGATTGCATACAATGTCAGCCATGATTGTAACTGATAGCCTGGTCCCCTGTCTCATCCTTGCCAAGTGACGCGGAGAATACGAAGCAAAACAGGGACAGGGAACCAGGCTATGAAACTGATAACAAATTCAAGTCATTTCTTCCTTATATAGGGATCATGTCAAATTATTTCATTTGTTTTCAACGCAAGCTTTCTTAAATTCTTCATCACTTTTAAGTTGCTTCGGACCTTGGATACGCCAATTTTTTTATCAACTGTATATATACGTAATTTTCGGGGCTTGCTTGTCCTAATTAATTATCACTTTGAAGTTCCAATTTTTTATCAACGAAATACACGTAATTTTCGGGGCTTGCATGTCCTAATTCATCATTACTTTGAAGTTTCTTTTCATAAGTTTCCTAAAAGCCGTCATCGATGGAATATCATTAATATGTCATTCAATAATTAAAACTGTTCAACACTTAGAACATTGTACTTGATTTACCTAGACATATTCTACAAATATAAATTTAAAACAATATGATAAATCAAAATGCATTTATTTGCTCTATTTCATAAGAAAAATAATCTAAGGAAATAATAAATACATATACCGTGTTTACTTTATATATGCGTGAAAAAAACCTAAACAAATAACAACATATTACACATACAATCGTAAATATTAATTTTATTTTATTTATAATAAATATTGATTAAAAATTATAATTTAAATTTGCATTTGAAATATATTTTATTGAATAAAATATGTCGTTTTTTCCCTGTAATACACAAGAAAAAATAATGGGGGCGAGTTGTTTCTACAATGGGGGCGAGCTGTCCTGATTGGGGGGGAGATGTCGTGACATGTGTTGGTGACTAGTTGTCCTGATTCCTTTTCTACTTAATGTAGAATATCAACAAAGAAACGGGGAGCAGTTAAATGTTGAAATACCCTCCAAAACATGTACTATTATTTTATAACAAAAGTATTATTCATATCTAAAATAAGCTTATTGTAGCTTTGCCTTTAAGACTGATTTTTAAAAGCTCGTGTTTTTTCACTTTTCTTTTCTTCACACAAAGAACAAGGGCGCTTTTGATTGGCATTCGGCAGGAATCTGGGCGTAATTGAAAAGTGAAAATTTTATCGACAAGTCACATGGAATTTTAACATTTTTTTTAATTTAAGGGGTTCCTGTGCAACAGGAAAGGAAAATATTTTCCCGAAATTGAGCTTTAATTTGCTAAAAAATAACTTGAAAATTGGCCAGATCAGACATTTGGTACAAAATGGTACATTTTTAAACACGTTTTTCTGAACTTTTTCTATCTCTGGGTCTTCTCTCCATGATTTTGAAACATTACTTGTGTGTATTTTAATTCAAAGAAACAAATACACTTTTTTAAAAAAAATGGACAGGAGACCCAGAGACCACTAAAAATGAACTTTTCCCCAAAAAATCCAAATGTGTGAATGTGATACTTCTTTGTCATCTCTCTCGAGAGATGACACATTAAGTTTGATTTCCGGATGTGTTTTATCATGTTTATAATTAAAGAACTTGCAATCATTTTCTTTATGTAGTTTTAAATTGCATTAATGACAAAAAGTCGTCAAATCACTTCTCTTACACTATTAAAATTAAGCCAAAATTATAATACGCAATTGTTTATTCTTAGTATGCTGATAAAGTTTACCGAGTACTAAAACAATAAAAATATTTGCATTGCACGTGGATTTGGACGATTACTAATGACACATTACTGTATTTTCCTGAAACAGCCCTAGTTTCAGGGTTGGCAAATTAGGACTCTTAAAGTTTATTCAGATACTTTTCTTAATTTTAGCTGATAGCAATTAAATGTTATTACATACAGTCATTTTTACTCTCCTTTGCTATATTTCGACAGTACCGTGTACATGTGCTTACAGTGTATATATTTTTTATAAAGCGTAAACAGTGGTGGATCCAGGAATCTTGAAAGGGGGGTCAGGGTAGGGGTCCAAAGCCTCACCAAAATATGAATTATTAAAACTTATGTATATTTTTGACACAAAAAGGGGGAGCCTGGACCCCCATCTAAATCCGCCAGTGCTGTTAAAACTTTTATTCTGATTAGTAAACGTTTCGATGTAAGTTTAGTTGATTTTCCCCTTTATATCCCAAGGGGCTCGATGGTCATGTCGTTTAAAGGAATGACAAGATTGAGGAAAATCTTTTGTAAGAGTCGAAATTACTTAAATTAGCGATTTTTACTGCTGTCAGAGTAAGAAGATTTGAAGTACGTGTAAGTTCAAAAGGAACGCTAAGGTTTTACCCATCTTCTTGTAAAAAAAAAGTGTACATTTTACAAATACTGCTTATTGGTACATTAACAATTTTAAATACATTGAACAAAAAATATTTGTAATAATAAATTAAAACATATTTTCACATAGATTAATAATCAAAACCACGTGTCATCAGAGAGGGCACATCCCCATTTATTTAAAATTGACACAATAGCATTGTTTACATTTTAAGATTTCAATGTTTATTCAAGTTCAAGAAATAAATTTAATTTAATTTTGGAGTTTGAACACTATACCCCTTTTTTCTTAAACAAAAAGTGTTCAGGTAAGTTGTACATGTAATTCTTTTTCTAACTGCTTCTCCCTTCCCTTAAAGAATAGAAAAATCTTCTGTAATAGCCGAGAAAAAAGTCACATTCCACTGTTTATTCTGTGACATTAACGAAGCCAAAGAGATGACTTTTACGGCCTTCTGGAAAGCCAAACTTGTTGTCCTTTTAAAACTATCTGTATATGTGTAGCGGTGATAGCTTAGTAAGTTGGGCTACCTGTCCAGTGCACTCGAAGCGAGTAGTTTTTTTCCGAGCCTGGAATGGGTCGTTAATTTTTTTTCATGCAAACAACCATTTATTTTGTCAATTTCGTTTTATGTACTGATGTATTAAAGCTTTGAATAAGATAAATTTTGGTTCAGTTTGGTTCTCGAGAGAAATCAATTCTCATCTTCTATTCTATAATGTACATGTACACGTATCATACATCTATGCATTAAATATTTTAGTTGATTATTTTTTGTGTAACATTACTATGTTATAGCACCCCCTAGGAAAAAAACGGACATAAATGTTACAATTTCTCAAGGTCTTTCAAACTAAATGAAAAAAAAAACCTATGGACGTGTTTGTAAAATCTGACCAGCTATGTTCAGTCAACCAAATCATGGACATTTAAACCATAAATGTTTCGTACAAATGATTCCTGCAGATCACTCGCCAAATGCGCCCATCTTCTTATTTTTTGGTGAAAATAATCTGCCCCCCTCCCCCTTTTTGCAATGCCTTCTGAACATTTTAGTGTAGTCTCATCACAATGTGTTGAAAGTTAATGCTAATTTAATAACAAAAATATCAAACTATATGTAGCAATGTTTCCTTATATTTACCATAACATAACAATCATTAATGCCATGTATATTTTTGAAGAAAAAAAAGAAAGACGTATATATGTTTTACCTGTTTTCTGATCGATAGAACAAGAACCTCCAGTAGGTGGCGCGTTAGTTCGTAACTTCCTGTACACATCCCCATGTATCTCCGTCTTGTTGACCACCGTCATATATAAAGTCACAAGGTAGGTATTTCCAGGTGATAAAGAGAATTTGGGTATGACAAAACTTTGTTTACCAGTATCTTTATTATAAAGAAAAATACAAATAATTTTACCATTAACATTTTTTTTAAATACTGCTCTTCAGATTGTTCAAAATGAATTTTTACAATATTTAAATCTTTTTTTCATAAAGTTTACCAGTCCCTGTGACTACAGACAAAGTCTGTTCCGACTGGAACAGTCCGGATTCATTTTCCTCTTTCCACAATAGCCACTCATATTGCACCTCGTGATCCGGTTTACATGACGTGCACCAAGCTATCAAAGCCAATTTAGATGATACGGCAGTTTTTTTGTTACAATTCAGGCTGCAGCTGTAAAATTCAGAAAATGAATCGTACGATTTATCAACTTTCATTAATTGAATGAAAAGTGAATCAACAACTTGCTCTCTAAATAGCAATACTTAATCTGTAGATCCGTCGTTCCCTCTCCTATGAAACTCGCAATTTGAGTGAACTGGTTTTCAGATGAGCCTTCCTTCACAGTTACGGTAACGGCATAGTCAAATATTTCTGGTATTGAAGAAGTCAACTGACCAAAACCACGTGACACCTCTCTAACAGAACATGTGCCTGATGAGTTGTCACTGAGTAGAATTGTCGGTCCTCTTAAACTCACTTTGGCGATTCTGCATAAAGTTATGATAATAGTTATTTTATGATAAGTACATAGATATTCTTCAAAAAATATTTTTTAAAGTTGTGTTTTAAAATTATTATACCTTTTACAGGTCCATGAAAA